TTCGGACTTTGGGATGTGTCCAGTTTTCAACTATTTAATAACGCCAGAGCAACTTTAGAAGGTCATTTCTAGGCAGCTTTTCTAGCGTTGGGAGGGAGGTGGATAAATACCAGTGTCTGGCGCGGCCAGCCTGCTGTGGCCTGGGCATCTTAGAGCTGGTCTGGTCAGGCAGAAAGAGGGAACGGTTCCCGGGGAAATTTTTTTATTATAATAGTTTATTTTTACATCATTTTGTGCCTTCTCCCACCTCAGTTGTAATCCCCGTGGGCGTCCCACCACCAATTCACCCATGTGCCATCACCATAGTCCTGTGCACGCACCCTCCCGCCCCATTTCTGATCCCATTGCCCACTCCACCCCCATAAAATGTCTCTGGTATATTGTTGTTCATTATTTATTGTTTTCCCCCTGGGGAAATCTTCTAACCTCACCAAGCCTCCATTTCCTCTTCTGTCAAATACACCTCTCGGTCGAGTGCCTGGTGCCTGGTAAATGCTTGGCCCGGGCTGGCTCTCTCCACGCCGGCATCTCCGTCCTCTTCGTCCTCTTTCTGGGGAAGCCAGCGGCCACCTCCCAGAGACTCCCGACCACAGAGGCCAGGCCACTGATTAGACCCCAATCCATACTCTTTCTTCCCATTGTCCATGGGCTTAGGCGAAAAAAGCCCGTGATCTGGATTTTAAAATTCTGTCTGGAACCCACAAGTTCAAAGGCACAGGGGCCCTCGCTGCAAATAATCACTGGTATGCAGTGTTTTTAAGAAGCTGAAGCCATTGTTTCTGATTGAAGGCAAGTTGGTGCTATTTTGAAGAGCAGTGCGATTAAGCGGTGGCGTTATCTCTCTAACCACTGGGAATTAGACGCCGTTTGAAAGATTTGTGAGCTCTAGGACATTTGCCAGATGTGCTTGATTCCACATTTCAGACAACAAAGGGGATAATGTTGGCGGGAATCTTCACGGCATTTCTGATGATCAGGGTATTCTCTGAGGATGGTACTGAGACCTTTCGGGGAAGAATTTCAGCTTTTACATAAACTAATTTGGGATGCTCACTCTCTCTTTTCCACAAAGCAAATTTAGTTCATTGTTAGTTGTATATGTTAAAATGGTTACGAGGGTTTTTTCCTTTGAATATTAATAATGTGCCTTTCATCTGAGACATTCACATGGGGTGTCATTAATTGCGGGGAGGGAGTAAGGATTAGCAGTGCAGTTATTTTGCAAATGACTCCTACGAGTAACGTCGAGGCAAGCCACAGCTCGGTGAAGAGACAACGTGCAAACCGCTAACACGGCTGGAGCTTATTCTTCCAGAAAGCCTTGAAAGGGGCACGGAGGAGGGGAAGGGTTAGCGCTAATCTCCCACTCTCCCACCATATTAAAGGTAATTATCCCAAATATCTTCAAATGCCTCCTCACTGGCCTACCGTGTAAAGGACCCTTTTCCAAATAAGGTAGTGTCGCATTTTGGGGACTGTGGCGTTTTTGTCTTAAGACTCTAAAGTGGACCTTTTCGTTGGTTCAGGAACATGCTGGGTTCCAGGAAGTGCATTTGGTGGAGGAACGCTATGAATGATGCAGCCCTCGGGGAGGGGAGAGAGCTAGGACCAAACCCCGAGGAAGATGAAAAGAGCTTTTGGGGCAGGGCTGGACTTGACTGAGCCCCTGCTCCCAGCTACGCGACCGGTGTCCTCGCGGCAAACTGTGGTTCATGGAAATTACCCACTGGGCAAGGTAGGAAGGAGCAGAGGTGACAGGCAGGTCCGGTTGCTCAGCACGGGCTGGCGAGGGTCCTCCACAGTGGTCAGGCCCTTCTCAGCTGCACTTCGAGCTTAGGACGGACAGGTCAAGCCATATGCCGTTCTGGTGGGTCGCAGGTGAAGACTTTATGGACCTCTGTTATGTGCTGAACATTGAGGTATGAGGAAAAGGGGTCAAGGGAGTTCAGAGAGTGAAAGTGAATCCAAGGTGACCCTTCTGCAGGGCCCCAGCTCGTGGCCCCCTAGGAACCGAGCACCCTGGCTCTGCGCTGTCCTGGGCGTGTGCTTCGTAATAGCAGAGACTTGGGCTGCTGTGTCTACCGGGAGGTGGCCTGTCCCCACCTCAGACCTGACCAGCGGTCCTGTGCCTTCCGGATGCCAACAGGAAGTACTGTTTATGGGGGCAGATGGAAATCCAGAGGAAAACAGACGACGGACAGAGGCCCAGTCAGCCCCTGGCCGGGAGAGGTGAGTCAGGGTAATGACTATGTGGCTGCCGACAGAGAACCCCTCTTAGTGGTTTCCGGGACATTCTCATCTTGATCTGTCCTATATTATCAGAACCAAAATACTCCTTGGCTACCTTTGTCCTCCATCATAGCCTCTTAAGGTTGGAATGACCCTAGAAATTATCCAGCCTAAGTCCCTCATTTGACAGATGAAGAGAAAGGGACCCAGAGAGGGCAGGCATCGACCCAGGTCAGCCAGCAGGCAGCCAGAGAGCCAGTCAGGCCCCCATTCTCCACTCTGCAGCCCGCGGTCCTTCGATGCCCCCTTTCTGGCCATCTTGCCAGAAGGCTCTCCTATCTAATCTTTCCTGCTTTGTCCCCTTCTCTGTATGTAACTAGAGGAGTCTTTCAAGAGGGTGGATCAGTTACTATTCTACCTGCCTGAAACCTTCCTTTGCCCTCCCTCCTCACTCCCCCACTACACCACCCCCTTCCCCATCCTCAGGTGAAAAGACAAGTGACAGTTCCAGCTGCCCTCATCATCCCACCTCTTGCTCCTTCTCTCTTGCTCTTCTTCACCTGGCGTATTGTCATCTCATGCTCCATGAACTTCATGGAAGCCCCAGGATATACAATGGCCTCCCCCACCTCTAATCCTTTGCAGATACTGTTCCCTCTGCTTTAACACGCTTCCCAGCCCTACTGTATCCTCTGCTCTTCTTAGGTTTCACATTACATCTAGCTTTTCCCAGGAAACCAGCCTGGCCCGCTGACCTCAGAGTTGGGTCTCCCTCCTGAGTTCATGACCGACTTTGCTGTCCGTTTCTCCTGCTCCAGTGACACTGACCACCTTCATGCCTAACCAAAGCCTTCTAGATGCCAAGCCTTCTAGATTCAGCTTCTTGAAGCCGGGGCTGGGACGACATGGACATTTATTTCTGTTTTTCCAACCGGCCCCCCGTCAAGCGCTTTGAGGCAGTATCGGTAAATCATGGTTGACAAGACATTCTTCAGTGTCTGTCCTTCTCCAAACTTCCTAAGAATGGCCTTCCCTTTTCCAGGATGCAACTTCTCAAGACTTTGTTTTCTAGAGTGGTTTTATGTTCACAACAAAACTGTGAGGAGAATATAGAGATTTTCCATTTTCTCCCTGCCCTGCACATGGCCAGCCTCTCCATGATCATCACCCCTGCCAGAGGGGACACCTGTGACCGCTGATGAGCCTGCAGGGACACGTCACAATTACCCGGAGGAATATTAGGGTGGACACTCGGCGTTGTGGAGTCTGTGGGCTGGCCAAGGCACTCTATCATGCACCTGCCACCCAGTGCCACCCCAGATGCATCTTCTCTGTGGTGCAGAATAGGCGTGCCAATGCCAAGCGACAAAAGGGACAGATGATCCAGGTGTGAAGCTACTGATCTCAGTGCCAAGCCTTCCAGACTCAGCATGTTGGGGCTGGAGCTGGGGCTGCGCATGCTTCTGCTTTTCCAGCTGGCCCCCAGCCGCGTGCTTCGAGCCAGACAGAGGGAGAGGGAATGCGCTCTGCTACCCCTGCTGCTCACGCTGACGGTGTCTCAGCAGAGGCATTTCATAGCCAGCTCCCAGTTTTGCAACATGCCTGGAATCGACTTGACTCCATCTTTTTTTTTCTGCAGAGGCCCCAGTGGGCAATGCCCCCTCTTCAGAGGTCTGGGTTGCCTCTCCTTGGCATCCTGCTAAATTCTGATTACCCAATCTCTTGGTTTTCTCTCCCAGTTCTTGAGGTGATGGCCACTTCCTGCAGTTACTCTCTGTTACCTCAGTGTTCTTTCTCCTCTCACACTTACAGTTCCTGGGACCTATTTAACCAATTGCTTCAAAGGAAATTCCTGCTGATTTGCTGGCTACAGTCTGGCGGTCACAGGAAAGCTAAGCCAGAATCCCTGCTAACATGGATCTCACAGTCTGGGGCCAAGACAGGTACTCAGCAATTACTTGCGCAAGTGAGTACTTAATTCCAGTTGAAATAAGTAGTGGTGGGTCCTCCCTGGTGGCGCAACAGGTCAAAGCGCAGCACTATGAAGCTGTCTGCAGCCACTGCAGCACGAGTTCAATCCCCGGCCAGGGAGATGCTCCACATGGTGCAGCAGACCTCTCCTGTCTCCCTGCTGCTTCCCTCAGCGGTCTATTTCAGTAGACCTGCCTGCTCTGCTCCCCACTCTGTCTCTGGTTAATTGTCTCAACCCCCCACCCCTCAGCGCCTCTAGACTGTACCTCAGTTCTATATCCATAAATAAATCTTTTTTTTTTTTTTTAAGAAGGAAGTGGTGAAGCAACACGAGATACTAGCATAGTAAAGGCCCAGGTTAGCATTGTTCAACTCAGGCCCTCCTCTTATTTGATCAAGAGGCATCACAATGGACCATGAGGCTCTAGCAAAATTACTGTTCCGCCCTGCGTTCATGGGGAAGGGGAAGTCGTTCAAGGAAACTGCCAGGGGCCCAGAGAGGAAGTATGGACCCTGCTTTTCCAGTAGCACCACTGGTGGCATAAGGGGTCCCAGCTGCAGGAGTCATCTGAAACATCAGCTAACAACTCCCTTTGCTCCTATTCCAGCACCACAGGGCCACTCTCTGACTATCATGGAATCTCTGAGTAAATTTCCCCATGAAGAAATTTACGCCTCATCACTCAGGCGTTTGTCTTTTATCCGCCAAAGCTTCTTAGCAAATGAAGCACGCACTGGCACACACCTACGTGTGGACAGGAGAAGAGAAGACACAGACCGGGGCAGCGGAATCAACATACCTGCATTTCGCAGAAAACGATTCTTATAATCTTTGATGACCCCCGTTTTGGGGTCGTAGAAGCCATCTCCGCAATCATAGCAGCCTTCAGGGATTTTTCGAGGTGGGTCCATATTGGTGAGTTGAGAGATACCTTCAAGGACATTATGGATAATTAATTCACCGCCACGGTTAAATCCAAACAGTCGCCTCTCCCCAAAGTCTCAGGGTCTTGGAAAGTGGCCCAGTGGGCTTCTTCCTTTGTCTCCATACCCTCTCTTCTAGAGCTACTAGGACGCAGGCTCAGGTTCTGGCACCTGAGAGGCCCTGAGGACGCCTCTGGGTGTGTCACATGGATGGAAAGTCTCCGGGAAAGGGTGGCATTCGAGGTGGCGAAGCCCAGGGGCAGGAGCTTGTGACTCATTCAGAAAACTTGGGGGGGCAGGGCATGCATAGGGAGAAGCGCAGTGGGCAGGAGGCAGGGCATTGAGAATTTGGGTTCTCACCAGTTACCACACTCGCTGCCTGGCCCTAAGCTGACCATGAGCCAGGCATGGTGTTAAATGCGTGTCTCCTACCACTGCCCTTGCGCTCACAGCAGCCCGTGGCTCCTTTTCCCAGATAAGGAAACTGAGGCAGGGTCAGCTGGAGGTTCTGTGAGACAGGGATCCAACGGCCCACCAGCCCCACTGCACCGAGCACACGTCCCTTGCGCTGCCCCACTGCAGGGTTGGTCACTGCAGGTGACCGACAGCTGACATATCTTGTGCCTGTGTGTGTGCAAGGCCACAGAAACCCACTCTTTCTGTGTATCGTCTTATCCACAACAGGCTCGCAGCATAGATGATGCTATTGCCCATTTTGCAGGGGAGAAACTGAGGCTCACAAAAGTGAGTGGCCTCCAGCTACAACAGTGGAAGTGACGTTTTCAGACTTACTTTCTGGCCCTACACCTGGCTCTTCTGAGTTCTACGGCCCCTGCTGGACTCTCCCATACACCCCTTGGGTAACTTCGATGGGCCTGGCTCCACTGATGTAAACTGCTGCCTTTCTTCTGGTGTGGAGCGCGAGGGGGTGAGGGGGACACAGCTGGATACCTGCAGCCTTCAAGCCATGGCAGATCTCGGTGTAAAACCTCCGGTCGTAGCTGTCGCAGTAATGCCAGTTCTTCGCCTCATACTGGAGCCCATCGGGGAAGGTGTAGGTGCCCTGGAGAGGAGGAGCCCACTCAGCACGTGGGACGGAGGGGCCTCAAACCCTCTGCCTAGGGGCACAGGCATGGAGGAGGACGTGGCTTTTTCACTGCCTCAGAAAAGAGGTGATAACCCCCCAACCATCGTGGCTGCGATGATCAGGGACACAAAGTGCCTTATCCTGTGCCTGGCCATTTGGAATATGGCAACTCATGCTGTGACCTTGGGCAGATGACCAGCCCTCCCCAACCCTGGCTTCTTTATTTGTAGAAGCTGGGTGATAATGGTGTATATTTAAGGGGGTGAGCCAGTGACCGTCAATGGGAGCAGCGCTCAGCTCTCAGTAAGCAATCAATAAATAGTATGTTTTTCAAGTTTTTTATTATAAGCATAGCTAAAAAGGTCATGGACCTGTACTCAAGCACATTCTACTTTCGCCTCCTTAGTGCTAAAGGAAGCCTCAGGATGCAGGCATCACCTTGGCCTGTGCACCAGGAAACAGGGGTGGAAATTCCAGTACTATTAATTCATTGTGTGACCTTGGGCAGGTCACACCCCCTTCCTGCAATGTGCTAGGCACTAGGGACACAGTGATGAATACGACTAGGGGTGAGATTCTCTAAGCGGTAAAGCAAGGAATATCTCTTAGCCTCTCTTTAGGTTATGAGCCAACCACTGTAGAACTCCTTAGTGAAAATGACAAGGGCTACAGATCTTCCCCAGAGAAAAATAGAGTCCAGTATGCATAGGCACTCTTGTCTATGAGTAAGAAGGTTTCACGGGTGCCCTGCACTCTACCCACAAATCCCTGGTTGGCTCCTTGGACTGGATGACTTGCCACGACAGTAGCGCTAACGTGAACAGAGTCCCCCCCTAGTCTCGTGAACTGCCCAGGAGGTGCAGTGATGGCTCCCCCAAAAGTGTCTACTTCTGATCTCTGGAACCTGTGAATAGCCACCTTATGTAGCGAAAGGGACATGTAGATGTAACTTAAGGATCTTGAGCTGGAGATGATTCTGGATCATCTGGGTAGGCCCAATGTCATCACAAGGGTCCCCCCAGGAGGGAGGCAGGAGGGCCAGAGTCACAGAAGGTGAGGTGATGCTAAAGCAGTGGAGAGCAAAAGAGGGAGTGACAAGGGGCGGGGGTCAGAGAGACATATGGCCATGAGCCAAAGTATGCAGATGTCTTCTAGAAGCTGGAGAAGGCAAGGAAATGGATCCTTCCATAGAGCCTCTGAGAGGAATGCAGTCTTCTGGTTTTGATTTCTGACTTCCAGGGCTGTAGAGAGTAAGTTTCTGTTGTTTGAAGGCACTGAGTTTGTAGTGATTTGTTACAGCAGCAGTAGGGAACTAATACAAACACTGTCTTCGGTTTATAGACAAGCATCGCAAGTCTCAAAAGGGGAAGTCATGGACCCAAGGACACACAGTTAGTTAATGGCATAACAGGATTCAAACATATCCTAGCCTCTCCATGGACCCATCTGGATCCAGAAGAAGATAATTCCAGAACCCTGGGAGAGCAAGAGGAAGGGACATGAGGGAGTGGAAGGAGGTGGGCACCAGGCAGGGAGGGCAGGGGCCTACTCCTGTCTGGGCTCTCCCCTTCTCAGCCCCTCCCCCTTCCCAGGCTGATCACCTTTATGGCCAGTCCCTTTTCCCAAATGCCATCGTATCTGCTCCCGCTGGGGAAGTACAGGGTTCCTTGGCCGTGAAACATGCCGTCCTTCATTTCCCCGACATATCTCGTCTCGGTAGGGAGGATGTATTCAGCATTGCCCTCCATCCTGTGAGGACCAAGGGAAGCCACTGAGCCCTGCATGGCAGCCTGAGGAGCAGGACAGGCAGGCACAGAGGGCTTGTGGAATTTCATCTGGGATCCTCAGATGCCACTATCCCAGCAACATTCTGTTCAATACCAAAAATCCCTGTTGCCTTCAAAGGCTCAAAAGTGAGAGGGCTGTGATTTTGCAGGGAAGGGCAGGGTTTAGAAGATTTGTACTCCCTCTCACCTGCCGGCTGTCCTGTAGTTCACGCTGCTCCTGGGAACTCCCACTTAGAGGCCAGAAAGGGGAGGGATGAGCCAGGGGCAGCTGAGAGCAAGGTGCCTGGGAGCTGGTTCTGTGTCTTCCCTGCCCCCAAGCCCATGATACCATGTGGGGGAAGAGGGTTTGAATCTTAGTTCCCATTTTCTAGAGTAACATCCTGGAGACTTTCCTAAACCTTTCTGTTTGTGCTCCTTCCTGTCTTGGATCCTTCGCATGGAACACCTAGCATGTACGAGGTGCTGGGCTGAGTCTGGACCACGGGATACTGCACAGACACAAGAGGGACCAAAGCAGTCACAGCCTCTGTCCCCAGGGGTGGGGTGGGACACACAGTGACAGAGTGTGTAAATGCCAGGCAGAGGGAAGACAGGCCCTCTGGGGGGCACAGGGCAGGACCCCCAGCTCCACCTTTGACTTAGTTTCTTCATATGCACAGTAGCCTAGACTAACCCAGCTAGTGTGTGATGGCTTGACGTCAGGGGAGATTAAAAACAGATTTCATTCATGTCTTCAATCCTCCTGCACTAGCTGAAGTCACCTCTCCTAACTTGGCCGTGGGACTCCTGAGGCTTTTGTTTGTGCCTCTGTTGCACACTTAGCATTTTCTCCCTGTGTCATCATTGTGTTCCTCCTTTCCCCTATTTAATCACTTGTAGGGATGATGACCTTAGGATCCTCAGCTCCAGAATCTCCCATGTAAGGAATGAAGGAAACAGAAAAGCCGGTGACTGGCTGCCTGGCTGACAGAGGTGCTGTGGTGGCACAGGCCCCAGGCAGGAGAACACTGGGGTCGAGGAACAGCCACTGAGCCACGCAGACCTGGAGCCCCGAGGGATGCGCCGCTCCAGGCCTGCGTGACGGCAATTGCCTGAGCCTGAGCTTTGCATCTGTAAAATGGGGATAATGGCAGCACTCCTGTTCCCCTACCCCCTCACCAAAGCTGTTGAGATAATTGAATGAAATAATAGCTATGGGATTATAGTTGAATCCCTGGCATATAACAAAAGCTCAAAAATTATTTTGCTTTTACTCTGTTGCAAGACATGGGAGGAGAGAAAGACTTCCTCTTCACCTCCTTTCTTCACCTCCTTTCTTCCATCTCTTTGCATTCTTCTTCTAAATGCTTCTCTGACATTATAGTCTACCCCCTCTCACTGAATTGTCAACTGGACATCATTACTCAGACCTACAGCTCATGCAAAATGGAACTCATTCTCTCCTCCTCCAAAGCAGTCAGTCCTCAGAATTCTCAATTTCTATGAATGACACTAGGCTCCCTCCAGGGAGGGGGGATAGCTCAGTGGGAGAGCACTTGCCTAGCATGCACTAGGTCCTGGGCTCAATCCCCAGCCCTCCCAGCAAATGTCATAACTACTTTGAGCTTTACTTTTTTCACCTGTAAAATGGGGGTGATGGCCACAATCTTATAGAATTCCTGAGAGCAGGGGAAAGAATTAGGAAAGACATTAGGTGAAACTGTCTTCTCACTTATTTGTTTGCTGGCAATACACCAACTAGGTTAAGGATATATTAGCATTTTTCAGCCTTATCCCATATCTGAAAGTGGCAGATAGCAAATGCGCACAAATACTGGGGGCATGAATGAATCTCAGCTCTGCTGCTGTCATTGAGAAAGTTATTTCATTTCTCTGCATAGGCATTTTCCTGAACTATAAGACGGGAACATCCCAGCTGAAAGGGCATTTCTGAAAGTTAAAAGGGACAGTTCATGTGAAGCGGCACCAACTGCGTTTGCAAAGGCAAAAAGATTACTTTTCCCAAGCACAGATGTTGAAGACATCTGTGAATCAAATGGAGACCTTACCTCCCATCTACAAATTCCCCAATGTATTGGCTCCCGGTGTACTCCATGGGGCCCCCGCCTTTAGCTTCCAGTGATTGGGATCCGGGAGTCTTTCTGTATATCCCTTCACTATGACAACCGGGGTGGGCGGAGTCTAAACTAAGCCCCGCCCCCACGCTCTCCCAGACCGTCCAGGTATTGCGCATGCTCTGTGACTCGCCGTTGGCAGAGCAGTGCGCCTGCGTGTCACCGGCTGCGCATGCGCAGGCCCTAGGAGGCCCTGCTCGGCGGCGAAAGGGGAGTTCAAGGAGACGGGGGCGACGCGGCTGCGGCTGCCTCCTCCAGGTCGGGGCTACAGCCATCATGCCGGGGATAGTGGAGCTACCTACTCTGGAGGATCTGAAAGTGCAGGAGGTGAGGCTCGTCCGGAGGACAGGCACGCAGGGCATAAGTCAGCAGCTTTTCGGGCTCGGGCCCAGCACTGCTTCGCCGTAGCGGACTCTGCACCCCGGGTACCCCAACCCTTTATCCCTCGCCTGTGTGCACCCGGGATGCACCGATGTTCCCTCTTCAAATCCGGGTATTGCCCCGTCGCTTCCCACCGCGGCTAGAGAACTCTTTCCCCCCCCCCCCCCCAAGGTGACGTGCTTCTCCGGACGTGAGTATTAGTGGTACTTTTTATTAAACACCAGCTAGGGCCGCTTCACTTACTTGATGTCACGTCATGCTCAAACCTCCCTCGGAAGCGAGGTTTTCACAGGTTTTCACAGTCGATGGAAAGTAATTAAAAAAGCAGTTTGGTGCTTAGCGCATTAGAGTGGAGCTCGGAAGCCGCAGAAAAGGAGCAGATACTGGAGAGTGAATTTGCTAACAGCCCTGGGAAGGTGTTTGGTAATAGGGCATTTAAAACATTGGTTTATTCAAAGGTTATCATTTGAATAATTATCCCTGTGTAGACACTGGAAAATGAGAGAGAATCCCAGGTCTCTAGAGTTTATAATCTAACAGGAAGACAGACACATAAAGAGACAATTACAGCACCGTGTAGTTAGTGCTATGAGAAGAGAAGCCGGTAGAATGCTAATTGTAGCAAAGGATGTGAGGGGGCCTTTTCTAGATGTCAGGCAGGGCTCTCATGGCTTTGCATGCACTCATTCCACCAGTCCTCCCCACAGCTCCATACATGATGCCTCTGCTTTATAGATAAAGAAACAAGCAGGAAAGTAGAAGTGATTTGCCCAAGGTCACATAGCTAGTAAGTGGTAGAGCCAGAGTGTGAACCCAAGGCGAGTTTCAAAGCTCGTGCTATTGCATTTTGGCAGAAGTTTTGAAGTGTGGAGAAGGCTTCGCAGAACCTTTTGTGTTTAGGGACATAAGTATAAGTGCAGTTGCAGGTGACTCTAGTGTGGGAAGCAGCCCTTGGCTGAGCCAGAAGTACGCTGGGCTGAGATAGGACTGGGCAGCAGCTTCCTCAAGGCCAGACTAAATAGTTTGGCAGAATGGGATAGACCAGGCTGCAGTGGAGGGGAGGGAGGACAAGACTAAATAGTACGTGCTGGACATTATATCGCAGACGGCACATTAAGTGTTTACCTGCATTACTTCATTCAGTCAGTACATGCCAGTAATGGCAGCCATCACTATTATAATGAATGGGTATTTCCTAAGCGGTGGGGAAGGGATACTACCAAAAGTCAGTCCTTTCTTTGGTGTCCCACAGTGAAGCTGGGTTGACCTTGAGTGGCTGTATTTTTCATTGCAACTTTAATTTGGTCTTGCAAACACGGAGGCCCTACTTCCTACAAAAAAGTTTCTATCTCTGGTAAAGATTTGTCTTTAGGGCACAGACACAGTTGAGTGAGGAACAGATAGTTACAGAAATGCAAGATAAAGTATGATTAAATGCTGTGGAAGAGGGACAGACATGGTTAAGAAAAGTAGTATTTGAAGCTGGATCTAAATTCTAGACCTAACTGCCCAGTTACCTTGATTAGTTGCTCTTAGCAGTTGCAGACACAGTTATTTTATTTGTAAGATGAAGTGCTTCCAGCTGTATAATTCTCGAGGTTGTACCGGGTCCAGGGAAAGCACTTTGTGGGCACAATGTAAGACTTGGCTAAATGGCCTCCTAAGAGAGGGTGGCACTTTAGCAAAGATAAGGAGAGCGGGTGCTGGGAGCAGTGGACTCAGTGTCCTGGGAGAAGAGCAAAATGTCTGTTTGCAGGGTCACGGGTAAGAAGGATGTAAAGATTGTTTGGGCCCAGGGGCTTAGTTCTGTTGTGTTTCAAGGGTTTTATGGCTAACTTGTTTTGTAGCAGGGTAAAATAAGAATACCAAGGAAACCACTCCAGCAGCTCCCTGCAGAATGCATGGAAGAGATGAAAAGAAAAATAGGGAGGCTGGTCTTGGTGGCTGTGAAATAAATGAGGAAGATATTAATGACCCGGCATGATGGGTGACCCGGCATGATGGGTGACTGCGTGTTTATCCAGAACTGATCAGACTTGGCAACAGATGAGATCAGAGGTAGCAATGGTTAAGGAGTCAATGTCAGATAATTATCCTGACAGTAGACGCCCTTAGAAGGAGACAGGTTAAGAGGCAAAGTCACATATTTTGCACCTCACTGACTTGGAGTTACAACACATCTCTATGGAGAAAGCAGTCAATCTTGGACTGGATACTCCAGTTGACAATTCTAAGTAAAATAGTAGCTAATGTCGATGACGCGCTTTCTGCATGCTGGGCACCATTCTGAATATTTTTATAGGTATGAACTCATTTAATTCTCATTATTGCCCCACCAGATTAGTACCATTATGCCCCATTTTACGTAAATTAGGTAAAATATAAAGCAGAGTGTAGTTGAAGTGCTGTCAGGAGAGCGCAGAGACGGTGTAAGGAAGAGAGAGCAGGACTGGGCGACTGCGTAGATGGTAAGACTGCCTGCCTGCCTTGCCTCTCACACCTGCGGCCTGTGTAAACTGCTCTGTCGTCAGGCTGCTTGAAATACATGGGAAGGACGCCGGAGGGCTGTGTGGTCTGAGACAGAGGGAGCTGAACGAGTCCGAGGGTGTTCGCAGTGAGCAGCCGCGCGGGGATGTTGTTCTGTTGGAATTCATCAGTCTCGGTGAGGAAGCAGGTGAGGGGGCCTGGAGGCAGCTGCGGGGCGTGGCCGCCTCCGTGGCGGGCGTGTGCTGGGCCAGACTGGAGGTCACGGCTCTGGATGCAGCGTGGCCTGCCGCACGGTCAAGGCTCCTCCGCGCTTCCTCAGGACGGAGCCAACGAGTGGCTTTTGACCCTCGTTGCCTGTGACAGCATTCTTACCACGCCCGCGACACGGCGGTGCCCGGGTTTTCATAAGTGCGCCCCCACACTTGTAGGGAAGTGAAGCAGAGGACGCCATAGGCTTTTGGGTTGTGACAACTAGGAAGCATTAGAATAATTAAACCAGCCACTTTTTTTTTTTGGTACCTTTGTCCCCCTAAACCAGAATTTTAGAAATAAAGTGACCACATTAATGCTGTTTTAAATCCACTGGAGAAAAGATTGTACTTTCTGGAGAAAATTGATATTGTGAAATACTTTATAGGCATTTTTAAACCTTCATTTCTTCAAGTTATTACCACCACTACTAAAAGAATACTATCAATACTCTTGACTGCTTTATGATAAAATCAAATCATCCCTTTTTGTTTACACTTTTAGGAACAGTGTTTCTTAATGCCTATGGGATTTCTTAAAGTGTACAGTAATACTCTGTAAAGTGCTTACTTGAAACACATGATTCTTTCAACAGACTAATTTCCCACACCAACCTGAAACTGTGAAATGGTTCCCTCTCTGTTTCCAATGAAGTCAAAAGTTTTCACTTTTAAACTTGAGTTGTCAGTGAGACTTTTTTTTTAATAATATAACAGTTTATTTTTACATCATTTTGTACACTTTTTTTGTTTTTATCTCAATTGTAATCCCTGTGGGCTTCCCATCACGGAATCACCCATGTGCCGTCACCATAGTTCCGTGCACTTCCCTCCCCACCCCCAACCCTGTTTTTGACTCCATCCCCACAAAATGTCTCTGGTAATGGCTTAAACCAGCCACTTTTAAAGGTATTCTAGGGCAGTTGATGAGGAAGTAAACGTAGCTAACATTTTTTAAACGATAACACACTTTTAAAAAGAGTTGAGTGTTGACTTACATTCTCTGTCTCTTTATTGGTAGGCCATAAAGCAGTGTCTACCACTCAGCCTCAGTAAAAGCTTATCGAAGACCATACAACAAAACTTTACAGATTTTTAAACATGTTAGACTACTCGTGGCAGATTTCACTTACATCAGAACTTCATCTTTGCTTTGACAATGATAACAATTGTAATATTAGTAGTCAGAGTTGTAACCTTATTCTCCCCTTCCTACAGTGCATAGAGGAATTACCTTTTGTCTCAATAGTTCAGCCTAAGCTGTGTGAAATTTACAAAAAGTTAAAGGCTATTCTTAAGTAAAAATCTTTAATATTTGAAAATCAAATCCAGTAGCTTACGAAAGTATAATTCACAATGACAGACTAGATTTTATTATAGCTACTGTGGGTCAATTTTAGAAAATCTATTAATGCTACATTTATAAAGTAATATAAAAGAAACATGAAAATGTAAGTCTTCCCTGATTAAAACCTAACAGTGAAAGGAAGCCAGTTGGACAGAAAGAAACGTCCTTAGTGAAAAACACCCACAGCGACCTCCCATGCGCCAGCCGTAAACCCGCCAAGGCTGGCGGCGCAGGGTGGCTCCGGCCACTGCCGCGCGGCCACTCTCCCACATCGTCCCGGCTCGAGGAGAGCCAAGAGGTTGGAAAAGTGAAAGGCAAGGAGGCTGTTTATGTATACGTGTGAGTTCTCCTTAATCCTCTTGAGCTTGGTGTCAACTGACAGCTGAGTATGGGGAGACGGGGTACAGCATACCGACAAGTAGTCACCAGCTTGGAAAGCTAATAGAAATCATGTCCTGCTGAGGCAGTGTCACGAATGTTGCAGTACCAAGGAGTGAGAAATGTGCCCAGCCCCTGT